ATCTCACTATTGCTTATGCTTGCTCTTCTCATTGGCAGGATTGTATAGCATAATTTTACAAGCTGAAAATAATGCGGCCTACTTTTAGGGCTCATGGAATATTAACAACTCCCATGGCAATGCGCTGGGCCACACTGTTCTAGAAGCGCATCCAAACTCGAAATATTTTAGACTCGAATATAACAAGAAATGAGTAAACTTGGATTTAATATGTTACAATTGTAGCTTACTTAAGCCTTTGGGCTAAATACACTATGAAGTCTTCATTCAAAGCCAATAAACTTTAAAATTCCTATCGAGTAGAAGACCTTAAATTTGTATGTCACGCAAAAGAGTTCGCTTCCCTTGGGTATTCACCTGTAAATCGAATAGGAATATATTCACCTTACCAAATGCACCCGTCTGCTTCTACTATTCTTCAAGCGAAACTATAGACCATGGACTAAGTAGGGCTGGTGATAGCTATATACATATAGATACATAGATATATTTGTGGCAGTCGCATTGTGCTGCCTGAACTTTTTGACAGAGTCAAAATGTATTAAACAAAGGCAAACAGAGGCAGCGAGAATGAATTGCTGCATCCAAACGGGTCGGTTCGCCTGCTTCTTTTTAAATTTTCATAAAACTTTTGCTCGTTTGCCGCTAATAAATTATTTTGCAGAAAGTTTGCACCGTAGGCGACACACCGATGTGGCGGCCACTAAGCTGTCCACAGAAGGGACCCAGCCTCCACGCCAGCTCCAACACCAACACCAACACCAACACCAACATCAAAACCAACACCAACACGAACTGCAATTCCAACTTCGACACCAACTCCGAGTTTGTCTCCGACTATGACACGGATTCCAATTCGGACTACAAGTCCGAGTGCAGATTGCTCCAAGTATTAGTACATGGGTCGTACACTAACTGAACGACTATTATAACGCTCGTTTGCGCCTCTTTGTTGTCCTCGGCGTTTGTTATTCCTGTGTGTTCGCTTTGTTCATAAATAATTTGCGCCACAACTCAATTTCATGAGCGTAAATCACAGTGTGGTCACTTGGTACTCTCCATTGGATTGGACTCGGGCCCTGGTCTGGCTCTGACTATTTTGCTTTGGCCATTGGCTTGTGGGGGGCTTTGGGTCCGTGGCCCGTGGCCCGTGGCCCGTAGCCTGTGGCCCGTACCCGACTCCGCTTTTTGACTGTCAATGCTGTTTATTGTTTCACTTCTTCTTTTCAAATAATTTTTCAACTTTTTCTATTTTTTGGTTCGTTGTTAGTGGCCATTTATCATACAATTCTTTATTTATGTCTGCCCACAGAGCCAACAACAAGCTATAAGTTCCCAGCTCTCAGCTCTAAACTTCTTTGTGTGCCGCAAAACTTTTTTGCCAAGCGCCTTGAGGGAGTCCAACCGAATCAAGCGAACAAAAGGGAGGCCCACTGATAGTCCGGGGCTCGCTTTGTGCCTCTGTTGTTTGGCATGCGAGTGTTAAATCAACACAAAGTTCCGCCAACTTTTCAATTGGTTTGACAAATATAATGAAATTTACAACATCCCATCGAATATGGGTCGCCATAAGATGGCCAACAAAAAACACGAGGAACGCCCCAGTCGAGGCAAATAACGAACACAGGGACACAGCCAAATTGACACCAATCTATGCACTATAATCGCATGCTCGCCATATGAAGAAGCCTCGAATCAAAACTTGTTACTTTGCGGGAGTAGGTTGAACCCAGTCCATTTATAGTTATTTCAATTATAGCCATCAACTATGGGGTGCGAAGAGTGTGGGTGAGAGTGGGCTTAGAGGCTGAAAGTTATGCAGCACCAGCTTGTAAGTTCTAAGCGAACTTTTTTTTTACACCTAATGATGATAGAAGTGATTCCCAATCAAAATTAAATGCAGGGTATATAGATCTTTGAAGTTTTTGTAGGCAATCAGCCTCCTAGACTTATGCAAATGTAAGTAAAAAGCAGTTTTGCACTCTCATAAACAATCACTAAATAAACGTAGTTTTCGTACTGCAGTCGGGTGTGATCGTCAGACAGAAAATTAATCTGCATTAGATCCCCTGAACCGTTCGAGGAACATATATTTCAATTTAATGCGTATCAGCGCTTGTATACCCTTTCCACAAATAATAATTGAAATAAAATATAAATCTGTTGCTTGAGGAAGATATGTCATTTTATGATGTTGATTCACTGTCCTCTATATATATATATATATTATCGTTAGCAAAGCCTTATAAGATAATTGAACCCTATAAAACCTGAAAATGGGAAATCAGGATATAAAGGTTTTGTCGAAATATATGTAACAGGCAGACCCCATAAAGTATGTATATATTGCTGATCAGGGCGACGAGCTCAGTCGATTTAGCCCTGTCTGTCTGTCCGTCCGCCCGTTTGTCCGTATGCTTGAAGGCGTCGATCTTAGAAGATATAAGAGCAAGAGGATTTTTTCCGTTATTGACTTACCAATAAAAAAATCTCATCTCCTACATAGTTTGAGCTATAGTCTTCAAATTATGTAAGATGAATGTAATATAATATGTAAATATTATGCATTCATATGCATTTTAACAAATTTCAATGTTAGTTATAATCCACCCCCAACCCCCATATCCACCCCCTGTAAATTTTTTAAAAGCGTATTTCATATACTAGAGTCTTGTGGTTTGGCAAATTCACGCATTTAAATATTACTATCACGATCTGTAAGTTTTAAGAAATATTTTATGAAAGCAATTACCTTAAGTTATTATGCAATTTAATTTAATTAGCAGAGATATCAGTTTATAACAAGTAAGAAGGCTCCAGTCGAGACTGCTCGACTAGGAGATACCCTGAACCCTCTAAGCTGATATTCTAATTATACTGCACCTCTTTTATGCACACATACATACACATGCATCCACACGCACGCATAAGCCTGCGCTCTGCTAACTGCGCAGTAAGCAGCGACTGCGCTTGGGCTGCGCTGCAGTGTGGGCAATATTATGAGAATTTATTTGTCGAATAATTTCTTTTGTAGACATACGATCTTAATGAAACTTTTAGAGCGTAATCATATGGTGAATATGTGTGTATATTCCAAAGCCCAAGTCTCTAGTATTTGAAATACGCTTTTTACAAAAGTGAGGGTGAGGGGGTGAATTTAAGGGTGGGGGGTAAATTTTAACAAAAACCGAAATTGTATAAATTGCATATAAGCATACATTAAAAATTTGGAGACTCTAGCAATAAGGGTGTAGAAGATATAATTTTATAACTGGTTTTCGATAAGGTTTTTTATCGATAAAAAAAGATCGGGATGAGTTATCGATTTTTAATGATAAACTTGATATGCGCGCTGTAATTACGGACATTTTAAAAAAAATTTGAAGTCTCTAGCTCTTATATCTTCTGAAATCGACGCGTTCATACATACGGAC